AGTACTATGGGAAGCATATGAACGTACTGTGATAAAGCGTTCATATATTTATTACTTCTTTTAAGGGATTGAAAATGTCCTGGTTCGGTTTTTTAACTAGTTGTATGGAAATCTCACCTTTATGTGAAACAGCCAGATATACAATTAGAATACAATGGAAAAAAATTACAAATATGTTATGCAGACTTTTCAATTCCTCAAGTTTATGAAGATAACATTATTTCTGCTGGCTTACAGTTGTAAAAAACTAATGAAACCTAATGCTAATATTCATAGAATCATAGAACCTTAAAGCCCACCTAGTTCCAACCCCCCTGCCATGGGCAGGGACATCCTCCACTAGCCCAGGTTGCCCAAAGCCCCATCCAACCTGGCCTGGAACACTTCCAGGGATGGGGCATCCACAGCTTCTCTGGGCAACCTGTGCCAGTGTCTCACCACCCTCACAGGGAAGAATTTCTTCCTAATATCTAATCTAAATCTACCCTCCTTTGGTTTATTGTTAGGTAACAAAAGAGCTACTTCTTGAAAAAAAGTTTGATGCTGTAAAATACAGCTTATAGAGGAAAAGGCAAATCAGTGATATACCAAATTAATTAACAGAGAGACTAGTAACTGCTCGGACCTTGGGTAAACAGTCATTGAACGACTCACAGACAACGATGCTGTTCAGTCGTTATTAGACTGGAGGGGACTCAGTCTGGCATCCTGATTTTGATAAGCTCACTGTCTTCTCATACTTAGCATGTACATGATCAACATTTTAGTCTTATTCTTAGAAGTTTGGGGTTCATAAGCACAGAAGGAGTCTTTTTTGATGCCAGCTTTAACATTGAAAAAGAAAGTTATTACATGGCTAAATCCAAAAAAGGCACATGGGAAACCAGGATCACTCCCGAAAGCCATTCCTTCGGAAGGGGCAGGAATTGCCGTTCAAGGTTGAGGCACTAACTTTTGGCCTAGGAAAGCTGAGCTCAACTCCCTGCGCCACAACGCCTCTCCCGTGTGCAGACAGGGAAGCAGCGAGGCTCCTCTAACACATCACTTCTCTGCGTGTCAAACAACGCTGGCAGTACTGTCAGAGCCCTCCAACGTGAGGACAGCGAAAAGCATGGAAACAGAAGGCCTGGGTGATCATGTAAAACCTTTCATAATTGTACCCAAAATCATGATGTCCTCTTAAAAGCATGCCTTCTTCTTGCCTTCACTATTTTTGGAGGGCTGTCGATAAAGGAAAGTGACAGCCTCAATGGTGTGGTACCAAAAGCAAAGAGACATCAATAAACGCGCAGCGTGTGTTGTCGGATGCCTGAATAACACTATGCCTTTCTTACCTGTCGCGTAGGTAAATACATCAGAAATCACATCATCTTTCAGAATGGCAGGACTTTACAAAAGGCAGCCAGTGATACCTGCTGGATAAACCCAGGTTATTAACTCACTAGTGACCACAACAGTGAAAAAGCCTCGAGCTCCTCAGTCTTAGCGAAGAGCAAGTACCTGGGTACCCGCAAACCACGCGGATATTCAGCAGCCTGTGCCTCTTGCTGGTCCCTGCCTTTCTGACAGCCTGCCCGTTACATATTCAGGTGTCCGCAGGAGGTGAAACTCAGGACAAGCGATTTACATTTAACTCCATTTTGACTTGGAAAAAGATGAAATTAACAGAAAAAAATAAGGGGACCGTCATGCAAATAGCAGTGATTTACAGCCTTCTTTTGGAGAGGCTTTCAGGGGTCTAATAAGCTACACGAGCCTGGGAGAACCAAACACTGACGTCTAAAGCAACAGGGCTTCAAAATATCCCCAAAATCACATTTTGACCATTTCACCTGCTGCGGCTGCAGGGTCAGCTCCAAGCTGGAGGTGCATTTCCACCAGAAGCCATCCTGCTCCCGTTCCGGCTGCCGTG